AATTGAATTAGATCTTAAAGATCTCCAGATTGACTTGTTAGATCAATGTGATATTTAACTAATTAGTGGATAAAATTATTGTTTGTTTGGTCTAAGAATGAAGTATATAGCTGAATCTGACTTAGATGGTCACAGTGCATTTAAAGCTCCCTGGGCTATTTCTGGATATTTTTTGTTTCTATTTCTTCTTCTTGACCTATGTTTCACTGTTTCAGGGCTCGTCTGAAATCACCATGGTCCCGGAGGAAAAGGAAAAGGCCACTCAGACTTCAGCAATGGAAAAGATTTTTCACTCCCGATGGTAGACTTCGTAATGGAGGTGTTGATTTGTTGAAGAAAGTCCGAAGTAGAGTGAGTTAAACAGCTTAATGGATCTCACTTCATCTGAATCACAACCATTTTGCGATTTTAAAAGAATGTTTTTTCTTCTTCTCTTGTAGGGTATCGAGCCGAGCATTCGGCTAGAGGTCTGGCCATTCCTTCTTGGAGTGTAAGTATTCAGTCAAAACTCTGTTAAGTTGAGTCCTATTGCAACAATTGCATCTATGAAAGAGAAACTAGTTTGTTTTCCTTGCCTCTTTTTCGTTATGTTTGCTAATTTAGTTTTATGAAAACAGGTATGGTTTTAATAGTTCCAAAGAAGAGAGAGTTACTATAAGAACCCGGAGAAGGTGAGAGAGACTCTTTACATTTTACTCTCTTTCGTTCCTATTCTCTAGCTTAACTGTTTTTGATTCTACAAATGCAGAAAGGAGTATGAGAGACTACGGAGGCAGTGCAAGCGGCTTCAAAAACACAATAACGGGGCTCTTAAATTGAACAGGGTCAGTGATACTATGCAAGATGAGTACGATTGGCCTCAAGTCCAAGACTCTGACAGTTCATGTTCTGATGAAGTTGTCAGTGCCCGCGAGTCTCTCTCTAGCGATGAAGATATCACTGAAGATATCGGGTACATGAGTGAAGTTTCATGTACAGTTGAGAGAGATGGCAGCAGTTCAAGACGAATCACCAATGCTACTATCTCTACACTCAATTCTGAGTCATCAGATTCAGATTCTTCAGATGAGAGTGAAGTGGTACAGGTATTTCACTCCTCTGGTACTCCGGATGTGAATAATACTTATCCAGCCAGCTCATCTGTCCCCCGGACAGAAGAGGATTTTGTGACATGGCAGCGTATTATCCGTCTAGATGCCGTACGAGCCAACTCAGAGTGGACCCCGTATTCTCCATCCCAGGCGGTTATATCCGAGGACCGAGCACATCGCGCCGCTGAAGCGGTTGGGTTAAAAGATTACAATCACTTGGAACCGTACAAAATCTTTCAAGCTGCACGACTCGTTGCTGTTCTTGAAGCCTATGCTTTATATGACCCTGACACTGGATATTGCCAAGGAATGAGCGATCTTCTCTCTCCAATACTCTCTGTAATCCTTGATGACCACGAAGCGTTTTGGTGCTTCGTCGGGTTCATGAAGAAAGCTCGTCACAATTTCAGACTCGACGAGGTTGGAATCAGAAGACAACTCAACATAGTCTCGAAAATAATAAAATCCAAAGACTCACAGCTTTACCGACACCTGGTGAAACTCCAAGCAGAGGACTGTTTCTTTGTATACAGAATGGTTGTCGTGATGTTCAGACGAGAGCTGACCCTCGATCAGACACTGTGTCTATGGGAAGTGATGTGGGCAGATCAAGCAGCGATCAGAGCCGGGATGGGGAAATCCGCTTGGAGTAGGATAAGGCAGCGTGCACCTCCCACGGATGATTTGGTGCTCTATGCAATAGCGGCCTCGGTGTTGCAAAGAAGGAAGCTAATAATAGAGAAGTATAACAGTATGGATGAGATACTAAGAGAGTGCCATAGTATGGCAGGGCAACTAAATGTGTGGAAGCTCTTGGATGATGCACATGACCTCGTCGTTACTTTACACACCAAGATTGAACATTCCTTCTCGTAAAAAGACTTCTCTAAGAAAAGTGGGGGGGTTTTTTGGTGAATTCCCTGGTTACTTGCAGGCCGAATTGGCTGGTGAGTGTGAATCCTGGCCTAATGAGATGAGGCTAGAGATTGGAAGAGAGTGGTGAATAGGAAGAGGTGTGTGTAATTTAATTGAAAATAAATGTCTGTGTGTGTGTTGTGAAGACTGTGAAAAGGTTGAGGGGCTGGTTTTGCAAATTCCATAGGGGGGAGATTCTTTACTTGATATATCAATCAGGATGCTTCATAAAATCATATGGAAGTGGAAATTGAGTTTCACAAGAATGTGGTTTGAATATTAAACCGGAGAGGATAATCTTTGTCCGGTTAAAGAAATATATATGTACAATACTAGTATTAATTATTATGGTTTGTGGTAAAGAGACATGTTGAGTTGACCGTAAAAACGCGTTTGGTTTCTTAATTACGGTCAACGACATGTTGTTGCATCAAAATTAAGAAGTTTAGTTTTTTAGTTTTGGTAACGTAACAAAACAAATTGTATGTTTTCGTTCTCTGGAAGACAAAATATCTAACCCAACCGATTGGGTTTTAAAAACTGTCTGACAAAATACCCCAAAATCACAAATATATATACACATATATGTATAAAAGATTTTGAACCTCATTTGAAATTTAGAACATCATTTCATTTAAAGTAAAATTGAGATCACAATCCAAGTTTGTGAAGCCATCACCACCCCCATAATGTGGCATTGACTAAAACCATAGTGCCAAGAAAATACAATTTTGCTTGCTTCCCACTGAGTTTTAAAAATTCTTTTTGGGAGTAATTCCCCTTGACTGGAGGTCCAAATTTACAAAAGACTTCAGCTAAGAAGATTGAAAAATATATAGAGAAAAAACAAAGAAATTCATATCTTTATATGATATCGTGATCTTAAATGGCTCATATGCAAGAAATTCAATTCTTTTATCTGCAAAAAAGTGACCTAAAACTTAGTAAAAATGTTGGTCGCCCTTAAGCCATGGCTTAACCCGCTTGTCTTTTAGGCCCGGTCTGATTGAACGACACACACATTACCGAAGTATAAGTGAATTCCTTAACGCCGACCATATTAAAATTTAGGCTACATATAAACAAAGAAATTCTTTTCGTAAACCTCTACAACAATTTTTAGAATAAAATTTTCAGCTAATCATTTTACTCAGCCTCGTTACCATGAGTTTATACAGCTTTCGGATAGTATATACTCTAGTGAAATGGTTATCATGTGAGTGTGGCACCAGTAAATGATTGAAATTCTCATATAAATCTAACTGATTTTGGTGGATGAAGATGGCAAAAACCACTGTTTAACCCCACTAAGAGATTAGTGTTCAATTTATTATGACCCATACATCACATTTTTATTTATTTTCTCAACCTCAAATTAGAACTTCTTCCACTTGTATTTTTAAGAGTTTTTTTTAACACTGAGGTGAATTATATTTGACCAAAAGGTACGAGTCGGAACAACAAAGATTCAAGAAATAAAGCCACCAATAGATGTTGTAAAATACAATCAAAGTTTCAGGTTTCGGAGACCACAAGGGCTCCCAGACCTTAGGATGATGGTATCATCTCTGCAAGAGTAATTTGAAATTGAGTGTTCAAGTGCTCTCATGACGTGTAGTGCACTCTGTATGTATAAGAGCATGAAGCCAAAAAGGACCTTCGCGAGCTAAATTGGACTGATATTTGTGGTCCTTGGTTACGCTGTTCGCAATCGCCTCAGCACATTTGTTTCTAGAGCTAGGTACTGATGTGATACTCCAAACCGCGAAGGAGGATAGAAGATGCTTGATGTCTGCAATTAGGTGGCGCAACCGCGGAAAACGATGAGGTTGCGAGATGGCCAACTCTACTTGCTCTGAAGAACTTTCAAAGATGACTCTCTGAAAGTGTAGATTTGTAATTCCTTTGGCTGCCCAGAACAAACTGAGCATCTCAGCTTCCAACTTTGTATCTATCCGGGAGTAAGATCGCCAACTATGAAACAGAGGATGTCCCTCGTGATCCCGAACCAGCCAAGCCACACCACAATTTCGCTGTATTTTTAAGAATTTGGTATCCATATTTTTCCAGAAACTTCC